CTCATGTGATGAACACCTAACATCTTGCCACTGATGTCCGTTGATAGCTACAACGGACCAAACCTGGTGCTGAAGTACGACAAGCAGAAGAAGAGACTTGTCAACATCGCCGTTGACAACCGCAGCTCCCCTTTCTACGCCCTGAGAGACCGCCAAGGAAACGCAATCGGAGTGACAGCGTGTGACATCGACGGAGACGGACGGGAGGAGATTTATGTCCTGAACACCAACAACGCCTTCTCCGGTACAGTGCAGACTGACACTTCTGTTAAAAAAAAGAAATACTAATGCATATTGTGCACACTCACACGGGGGTTACAACTCAGGGAAAAAAGCAGGAAAATCAGTATGCAGATATTAAGCGTATCTCATCTGAGTCTTCATCAGATAACACATAAGCTTTGTGCCACTATTAATCAATCTGAGAGCTGCAGAGCGCACGCCGCCAAAACCCTGCAACACCTCACCTCTGTCATTTTTGTTAGAACCTCCTGACTCACATTTCTCACTTTCAGCATCGCACTCGTACGTTTCCCCCACAGCTCTTGTATTGCATAAAGCCTCTTTACTCTCCACACAATCTTTGCCTCTCCTCAACTGTGCTGAACGTCTCTCCGCATCAAGGTCGGGCGACGTACTCTGACAAGCTGTTTAAGTTCCGCAATGGACGCTTTGAGGATCTGCTGAACGATGACATTAACGAACACAGAGACGTAGCAAACCGTATGGCTGGGCGCTCAGTGGCCTGTGTGGACCGAAAGGTACAACACGCACGAACACACTCATGCACACAGTATGCAGATGCACACTACCGACACACACACAAACTCCCTAGAGTGTCTTTTGTGTACATGCATGGGTGCCTCTGTTTGTTTACCAGTGATAACTCATGCCCTGCCTACGCCGCCCTTCTCAGCATGTGCGATGACAGTTCATTTGGGGGAATGGTGTGCCATTTTCTCTCTTCTGTCCATCGCACCAGTGTAATTATAGAAGCCAGGGCTCGTTTGTTTTATAGAACATCGCGCGAGGGGAGGAGTGATGAGTCCACACTGCTGCTTTCTGCCCGTAACATTTTCTCTCAGTCCCTTTTCCCATTGTTTTCTTCCCTCTTTCCACCTCCATTCCTCCAGTTTTTTCCTCACCCCTGACTTGACACGCTCGCACTCCTTCTTTGTCTCTTATCTCGTACACAAAAATACATTTCTCACTTCCAATCAGGGGATAAAGATGGTAATAGTGGGAACACGACAGTAGGGATTACAATAGATTTTTGTTTTTTTTAAACCACAGTCCCATCTCACTGAGCACTGATAGGTTACGCTGCTGCCAAAGCGATTGGAAAGATATCAACTTTTAATGGTTAATGGTTTTACAGGAAGCTTGGTGTGTGTTCTTCCATGCTAGTTCAGCAGGCGGACCAGGAGATTACATTTTCCTATTGTTGAGCAGATTGTGAATAATAACAGAAGGTTGCACAGGCCAAAAGCGTGTTGTTGGCCAGGTAGCTGATGAGTTTAGAGTTGTTCACTTTTTTAAAAAGTAAAAAAAAAAAAAGAAGAAAATTCAAATTTCTCTCTCTCTTCTTGAAAGGGACATCCAAACAATATTCTTACCCAAACTTGATGAAAGTGACATATTGACGGTTTTGTAATAAACCGATTGATTTTAAAACCTGAACTAATTGCAAAACATTAAATATATGAATGCACTATATGCATTTCCTTTTGAAATAAACAGATGGAAACGTTACATTGGAGGTGGTACCTCATTAAAAGCCATGCAGCCGCATGCACTCTGCACACATGCATGTCGCACCATTCACAATGCCAGTTCCAGTGACAGAAATTGGCCTTGGGTGAAGACTTATTGAAAAATCATTGACTTTTAAGTTTGTTAAGTAACTGCCAGTGGCCTTCGCTGCAGTTCAGTCTCATTTCGTCAAGTCTTAAGTGTGTGTGTGTGCGTCTGTGTGTGAGAGAGAGAGTGTGTAATGCTACCCACTCCTCCCACCTCAGCAGACCATAATGTGACGCCTGATGACATTTACATCATGCAGACTCATTTACTTTTCTTGTCTTGTAAAAATATGTTAAGGTTTACACAAATGGTAAAATAGTGTGTGTTTGGATATGTGCATGTGTTTGTGTTGACAGAAATATGTTTGGCCTGGTGGGAAAGCTCATTGGAATCGAGTGTGTAGTCTATTAGTGTGGTTCCGTCTGTGGGTTTGTGTCTGCAGGGACTCTGACTGATAATGGAGTGTGAAATTAATCTCCAAAGGGAGGCAGGAGCAGGGGGAGACACACAGAGAGAGAGAGAGAGAGAGAGAGAGAGAGGGAGAGAGGGGGTACATGGTGGAAAACAGGGTCGGGGCAGATAAGGGGGGAAGAAAAGGTTTGATTGGAAAAGGTTAAAATATGCAGATAATATTCAGAGATAGGAAAGAGTTTTAAAAAGGTGGTTGAAGGAAGCGTCAGGTGATTTTCTATATTTTTGATATAGCTAAAAAATCCTATGAAAATCCAAACAATTATCTGATCCTGTTAACCAGTATTGTCTGTGTTGCCAAAGCCTGACACATATTTCTCCTCAGTGTCATAGAACTCCACATTCTTGTCTTCTCTCTAAAACTACTAAAACTGTTTCCCTGGGTTACATACACCTTAAAACAATAGCATTTCTTTAGGTTGGTTCTACACACACTCTCTGCTGCTATAAATACTCAAGAGGAAGTACTTTTATCCATAGTTGAAAATAGTCAAACAATACACAATGTACCCCTATTTGAGTCATCTTTGGTAAAAATCTATTTGAGAAAAGAAGAAAGAAAGTGTATATATACCCACACAGGTATTTATATTTGTCAGGTCAATTTCTTTTTTTAATCAACAAATGAAAAATTATAATTTTATATAAGAAAAAAAGCTATGTTTATTTGTGGAATTAAAATGATTGATAGTCAGAACCATCCATGACATTTTCTACAGCTTCATTTTGCTGGTTGGATGTCAAAACCTAGACAAGCATCTTAAACTTGGATTGTTTGTTTGGTAATTTTGATGGAGAGTCAAATATCATCAAATTCTTTGTCACCCCACACAACATTACACTTCTGGTTTCTTATTGCTGTAGAAAACAAGCAGCAACCTTCTTTCATTAGCTGATGTTTTGGCCACAGCATGATTTCCTCTGAGCTTAAAGTAATAAGCATGATTTCCTTTTCATAATTTATGAGACCAAATAAAAAAAAGATTAATTAAATAAAAATGATTTTTGTCTTTCCACCCAGGGTACCGGACGTTATGCTATTTACATAGCTAACTATGCCAGTGGCACCGTGGGTCCTCATGCTCTCATAGAAATGGATGAAGCAGCGAGTGACCTTTCGCAGGGCGTCATTGCCCTGTCCAATGTGGCAGAGCAGGCCGGAGTCAACAAGTTCACAGGTAGGTGTGGAGATATGACTCAGTGTTTGTCTATGTGTGTGTGTGTCTGGGGACCTAAATCTATTTACAGAGTCACACTATGGGGACAATAGCTGGCCCATAAAGTAAATCATTACACTCTGAGATGAAGACACGTTTTAAGGTTAGAATCAGGGGTTAGACAAGTAGTAGTTAGAGTGAGTCTACAGGAAATGAATGTAAGTCAGTCAGTCAGGGAGACACGACTGTGTGTGTGCGTGTGTGTGCGTGTGTGTGCGTGTGTGTGTGTGTGTGTGTGGCTGTGTGAGCCTGAGTGATGTAAGATATCAGGCATTGCTGGACCTTCAGTCTGATTTATACAGACATCTGCAGAGGAGCATGTGCTGCTTGTACCCGTAGCATCTGAAATATAGGACTTCAGCACAGAGAGGCTGCTCGACAGGAGGAGAGTAAAGGAGAGCTGGAGAGGAGCCAAGCGAAGAAAAGAAAGAGAACATGATGAGTGTAAGCGTGCGAGAAAATAGAAATGACTAGAGAGAAGTGTTAGTGGGCTCTTTTGGCCCTGTCAGCTGTTTACTCCAGTCAAAGTCACCGGGAAGCCAAGGAGAAGGGTGACACTCACATACATCAGAGTGGCTCTACAGCCCCGACACGGTATCCATCTCTACCTATAGGGTGGGTCCCCAAAACTTCTGAAGGTTTGAATAAAATGTGGACGCTAGTACACCACTGTGTATTTTATGTACATTTGAAGTCAGCCTACTCCAGGCGAGATTACGAAAAGGATTAAATAGATTTGATCCTCTGCAGAGGTGAAATAGAAGCAGATGTGTCACTCACTGATTTATTGAAATTTAAATGAGTAAAACGGAAAGTAGACTTCTTTGTCACTGTGGCTAAATCAGTGTCGAGAATTTTAGTCAACAAATCACACATACAGCAAAAGCAAGGAGTCCTGAAGGGTGGGAATGGCACTGAGAGGAGTTCATACCTCCTGCAAGGCCCAACAGCCCCCTTATGAAACCATTTAAATTCACTAGATCTGGATTTCTATTTGGATCTGCACCAAATTGCACACACTCATAAATATCAGTCCCCTGATCCATGACTTATTCTCTGACAAATCGAAGAGAATGTTGAAAAAATCTTGCAACGTTAAAGCAAGTAAAAAAACAACAAATCCTGGATCTGCCCCACTAATCTGGATCAACATGTAATGGGTTCTTCCCACACCCATACTTGCACCCTTCCACCAAGTTTTATGGTAATCCATCCAACAGTTTGATGTAATTGTAATTCCGCTAACAAATGCAGATGAAAGGGGTAATAGTTACACTTAGTCAGGTTATTAGCTTTTATATGTTTACGAAAGTCTTTTTCTTAGAAAAAAAAATGTCCTTCCGCCCTCTGATCCTGATCTGCACCAAAATTGAATGGATTCTTTCTCATGCCCATCCTCTCCACACAATTTCACAGGAATTGTTTTTGCATAATCCTGCTGATAAACAAACATAGCGCGGATAAAACATAACCTCTTTGGCATAGATAATAAAATCCACATACCTGGTTCAAATCACGTCACGGATGTTTTTTGCTGGTCATCTCTCCCTTCACCATTTCCGTTCCATTCATACTTTCGGCTATAAAATAATAAGGAACAAAAACAAACCAAAATTGCTAAATTAATCTCTGAATCAGAGAAAGAGGCTTCCGGAAATTATGTATGACAAGTTCAAATTTATATTTATTCTATAATTAACAAATTTAATTTATCACATCTCATTCAAAATATAATATACCAACCTTATCTCCCTGCACAACTCCTGAGTACTTATAACATATGAATTACTTTATTTATTTTAATATCTGAGCTAATGTGGTACTGACCAAGCAAATAAAAATCCTTTTGGGGGCAATGAAGAATATCTAATCTAAACTAATCTAATCTCATCTCATCTCATCTAATCTAGATTAATCAAGCATGTTACCCTTTCATGCACACTATTTCTAAATGGTTATGTTCATCTATATTATAAGCTGCTGTCTAATCGGACACAACATATTTTAACGGAATTTAACTCATTAAATAGAACCTTAAATGATTTTGAAACAAAATGTCTGACCTTGATATATAGGCAAAGATTAACTTATTTTGAAAATCAGAAAAACACTTAAATTGTCTTATTGCCAATTCAACCCTGTGATGTGTGTCGTCTTTTTCGAAGAGGAGAACAATAAATGTCAGAATCAATTATTTCACCATGATTAGTTTCTTTGGTGACAGCGGCCATCATGAGTAAAAACTGCTGCCTCTATGATATTAAATTGTGTCCACTGAAAAGACCTTGACTTTGAGGCATAGGTAAGTTTTAAAAGTGGGACGTGACTTAATATTTGTGCGGAACAGAATCAATCTTCATCAATTTTTTAAAATCTTTTTTTGCATGCCAGATGACATCTAAGCCACCAGGGGGGGGCAGAGTGAGCTGGCACAGAAATCTGTGCGGTAGATGGCGATTCATCACGGTGCAGTTAATCAGAGGGACAGTGAGTGAAGTTGTATATCTAATGGTTACATATCTCTGGAGAGACATTAGTGGTTTATGACCATAGGGGGCGAGTGGTATTTGTCTGGGCTCATGAAGCGGCCCAGTAAATCAGAAGTCTTCACCCACAGCACTGACTCTACGCACTGGAAGGACAATCAAAGCCCTTTCAGCTGCATAATTAGACTCCGCTGGTCTGAGATGAGACACTTTAGCGCAACACTTCACTTTATAGAATGTCATTGGAAAATCCTGGGGTGATGCAGAGTGTATTGAACAGTCACAAACATCTTTTCATCAGGAGAAAATCACTGTTAGATTTTGGTCAATGCAAAAGGCTCCCAGCGTGTGTCGCCTATTTGCATTTTTGTGTTTGTTTGTGTTCGTCCCTAGGTTTGTTTGTCTGTGTGCTTGAAGCCCATCAGTCAATGTCTGCGTCCTTCTTGCTCGGAGGAAATTGCCTGGAAAGACGATAATGATCTCAGGCTGATCTCTCTCGTTCTGTGCTCTGTTATTTCACCTTTTCTGCCGCCGCTTTTTATTTTTAAAACCGTCTGCCTACCCTTAGCTTTAATCATCTACATTCATCTCACCACAGAGGCTTGTATCTGTGTTTCTGTCTGTGCAGGAGGACGAGGCGTCGTGGTGGGGCCCATTGTCAGTCAAACGCTGTCCGATGTATTCTGCGACAACGAGTACGGACCCAACTTCTTGTTTAGGAACAACGGGGATGGAACGTTCACGGATGTGGCGCAGCAGGCTGGTGAGAAGAAATGCGTGCAGCAGATGACATAGATTATCTGAATTTGGCTTTATATGATTAAGTTCTATTACCATATGACTGTAGGTGTGGAGGACCCCATGCAGCACGGCAGAGGGGTCGCTCTGGCAGATTTCAACCGTGACGGCAAGACCGACATCGTCTACGGGAACTGGAATGGGCCTCATCGCCTGTACATGCAGCAGAATAACCGTAAACAGAAGTTCAAGGTGGGTTCACATGAGTTTCCTGGGTATTTACCAAATCCACATTCAGATAAATACCAACATCTACACAAAAACATCCTGTGATTTAAGGTTATGAATGAAAATATAGTCTGTATACCTGTTTTAAAAGGTGGGCTGTAAAGGCTGCCGACACAAGTAAAAGGACCTGGGCACACACTTTCCATTGTGCACTCTAACTAGACCATCATTTCAAGATTTAATAGGTAACAATTACCACTAACCCTGAAAACAAGCAGACCTATGTTATGTGTGTTGTTGCCTTGTGCACTTACATTAACTAAAATAATTCCTACAATGTTTAAACCCAAAGAAATCCAACATTTCATTCAGGGTAATGAGTCGTTTCATTTCGGTCGACTTTCAATTGTGTAACTTTTACTTTCACTTCAAAATTGTAACCACTTTCAAGCCAGTGGGCTGTTTTTTCATGACATTACATTACATTTAATTTAGCTGATGCTTTTATCCAAAGCGACTTACAATAAGTGCATCAACCATGAGGGAACAAACCCAGAACAACAAGAATCAACTAAGTGCAATTTGCGAGCCAAACTACAAAATGCTACATGTAAGTGCAACAAATTATTTATTTTAATTTTTTTATGAATTGGTTATTAGACATCATCTTTTTCACCATGGTGTAGTTGGTAGAGATGTGTCTTTAGTCTGCGGTGGAAGATGTGTCGACTTTCTGCTGTCCTGGTGTCAATGGGGAGCTCGTTCCACCATTTAGGAGCCAGGACAGCAAACAGTCGTGATTTGTTGAGTGGTTAGCTCGTAGTGAGCAGTGCGGAGTGGACGGGCTGGGGTGTACGGTTTCCTTCCACTGTTTGTATTGGTCGCTCGTAATGCACCATGATTATTTGTTGCTTTTTTGCTGTGTAACATAAATAAAACTTTAATACGTTACCTCATCCGTGAAGATGATTTGCACCTGAGCAGATCAGGTTGCCACGCTGCTTCACGACATATCACTGTTTAGATCGAGACTCCTAGCGCCTGAGGTTACATATTGTACACTTCAATTCAATCAACCCACATTAAACTAAACCACACACTCATGGATATCACTGTTCTAAATGTGCCTGATTTTCTATGGTAAATTAGTGAAAATGTTAAAAATCGCCTTTGTAATATTAAGAAAAGTGATAAAAAAAATCCTGGATCCGCCCCCTTAACTGATCCCTCTCCAAAAGCCAATAATTTTTTTATTGGCACAGACCTCATATCTCCACCAAGTTCAATAAAATCAGTTCAGTAGATTTTGTAGTGTAATCCTGCCAACAGACTGATGCCAGTATCACGTCGTTGGCGGATGCGAACATTGAAGAGCTGGAGCTTTAGAAGAAAACATTCATGTTTCTGCACACATGACCAATCACTGTACAAAGCACCTGCAACCTCATCTTTAATCAAAGCAAAGAGTGTCACAGGACACTTTATAGAGTCAAATGAGTCCGACTGACTTTTCTCTGTGTCTAATGAACAAGCAGAACAAAGACGGCAAATGCCAGTGGTCGACAGGGGAATTAGCAGTAGTAGAGATAAAGTGGGATTTAAAGACAGACGCGTGGTTAATTTACTCAAACAACAACTCTGCAGACAACTCCTGTGAGACAGCGAGCGGCGTGCATGTGTTTGTGTAGTACAGACAGCGGCAGCCTCCGCTGTATAAATCTACAGAGGTTTTGTGTTTGGTGATGTATGTTTCAGGACCTACGACCGCATCTTTTACCAAAGAGATAAATGTCACATGAGACATCTTTATAGGGGTCAAATAAGAGGTTAATGTGTGATGGTTAGCCCAGAGACAATACCATCAGCATGACACGTACACTCACACACACACACACACACACACACACACACACACAC